CTGCTGCTCTTAAGGTTAGAGCCTGGGGTGCACAGATGCATGCTGCTGTTCTTGAGGTTAGATGCTGGGGTGCACAGATGTGTCCTGCCGTTCTCGAGGTTAGAGCGTGGGGTGCACAGATGCGTGCTGCCGTCCTTGAGGGTAGATGCTGGGGTGCACAGATGCGTGCTGCCATCCTGGAGGTTAGATGCTGGGGTGCACAGATGCGTGCTGCCATCCTCAGGTGTCTCACTGCTTCCCAGGAGAAACAGAAACATACACGAAGAGTCATGGGCTGTGCATTTGAGTGAAGGTGCTATTTGGGAGAACGGAGTAGGTGGTCAAACTGTTCAGAAAGGTACAGGAAAGCCCATTTAGAGACGATTGCATCTGACCTCTATAGATGAAGAAGAGAAAAGATGGATTAAGCTACCAGGAGCGAAACTTCTGTTCTACAGCAAGCGACCCAGAGGAAAAGCATCCTGGGTGGATGCCAGCAGGGAGGGCCAGGGTCCTGGGCTTGCTCCTGTGCTCCCTGCCAGCCCCACTGTCTTGGCTTTTGTCTTCTTGATTGGTGTTCCAACTACCACGTTCATTTTCAAGGCAGGAAGGCAGGGAGGTGGGGGTGCTGGGTGTGTTGGTGTCCTGTGACTCCTGTGATGAATTCACAAATGGGGAGGTTCCCAGCAGCAGACGCCTGTTCCCTCACGGTTCTGGACACCCATGTCAAAGATCAGTGTCGCTGAACCTGCATCACCATGTGGGCAGGACTGTGCTCCTTCTGGAGAAAAAAAATCCACCCTTCGTCGCTTCAGCCTTTCTTGGCTGACAGCCGCATCGCTGACATCTCTGCCAGTTTCTGCATCTCCCTCTCTTCTGTCTGGGCGTGTGCACGCACGTGCATGCACGTGTGGTGTGGTATGTGTGTGTGTGCTTGTGTGTCTTTCTCTCACAAGCATACTTGTGATGGCATTCAGAACCCACCTGAATAATTGCCCCACTGTAAGATCTTTAAATCCGCCAAGAGCTCTTTACTTCCAAATAGGGTAACGTTTACAGATTGCAGGGTTTAGGACCTAATATTTGGGGGCCCATTATCAGCCTGCCACAAAGAGACTTCCATCAATTTTATCCTTTTTAAAAATCACATGTTCCCCAATAACTGCAAGGTGAAAAGGAACAAAGTTGTGTTAGCCAAGCAACGAGGGGTATCTGATGCGGTTTCATAGCGAGAGGTGGGGAAGGAAAACTAAAGGAATAAGGCTGGAGAGAGAAGGCTTTCCAGAGGAGAAGCAGAAGAGCACAGGCACTGAAGTGGAAAGGTTTCTGGTTCGGAGGGCTATAGTGGAGAGAGAGAGACAGTGAAAACGCATCTCATTCACGGAGATGAGGACGGAAAAGCAGTTTTGTGTGCAGATTGTGCAGGGACCGGAATTTCATATTAAGAGGCAAGCTTTTATTTTGCAGAATGGATGCCATCGAAACCTTTTGGCAACATTTTTGCCATTTTATTTTTTTCACATGGATTTTAATTTTGCTTAGATTGCCTTGAGTGGGTAAATGTGGTCTTCTAAGAGCTCACAGGTTCTTTTGGAACAGGTTCCAATCTTTTCCCCTATGACGTTTAGCTGACTGCCAGCTTCACACATGCTCTGTGGTCCTGCAGAATTACTAACACAATCGTCATTTCTAGAGTCTTTGTTCTGTGCGTCTCGTGTTTTCTGCTTATTGTGCCTCACTTTTTCTTCTACTCCCAATCCTGGTTCTATAATTTTTGAGCAACTAATCTTTGTGTACTGAGTTGCAATTATTAATTCCTTGTGTTATTTTCTTTTTACTGAGATAAATGTCAAATAACATAAAATCCATCATTTTAAAGTGTACATTTCAGTGACATTTAGTACCTTCACCATATTGTACGATAGTCACGTCTACGTAATTCCAGAACATTTTCAGCGCCTCAAAAGGAAACTCAGTATCATTAACCAGTCACTCTTCATTCGTCCTTCCCCTGGCCCTGGCAGCCTCTAATGTACTTTCTGTCTCTATGGATTTACCTATTCCAAGTACTTCCTATTCATGGATTTGTATAATATGTGAACTTTTGTGTCTGTTTATTTTACTTGGCACATTGTCTCATTGTATTTTCATTATACATAATGTTAGAAATTCTGCTTTAGCTGTGGGTATTTCCCATGCCGTGATGCACATGTTCTTCTCTGATGGGTGTTTGATGAGTATTTAGCATCCTGTGCCTTGGTCCACGTGTTCTTCTTTGATGGATATCTGCTGGGTATTTAGCATCCCGTGCCTTGGTCCATGTGTTCTTCTTTGATGGGTATTTAGCCTCCCTTGCCTTGGTCCACGTGTTCTTCTTTGATGGGTAGCTGCTGGGTATTTAGCATCCCGTGCCTTGATCCACGTGTTCTTCTTTGATGGGTATTTGATGGGTATTTAGCATCCCGTGCCTTGGTCCACGTGTTCTTCTTTGTTGGATATCTGCTGGGTATTTAGCATCTGGTGCCTTGGTCCATGTGTTCTTCTTTGATGGGTATTTAGCCTACCATGCCTTGGTCCACGTGTTCTTCTTTGATGGGTATCTTCTGGGTATTTAGCATCCGTGCCTTGATCCACGTGTTCTTCTTTGATGGGTATTTGAAGGCTATTTAGCATCCTGTGCCTTGATCCACATGTTCTTCTTTGATGGGTATTTCATTAGTATTTAGTATTCTGTGCCTTGGTCCACGTGTTCTTCTTTGATGGGTATCTGCTGGGTATTTAGCATCTGGTGCCTTGGTCTATGTGTTCTTCTTTGATGGGTGTCTGATGGGTATTTAGCATGCCATGCCTTGGTCCACGTGTTCTTCTTTGATGTCTGTCCCCCAGCCCCACACCACAATTTCAGGTAATCTTATCTACTTGCTTTCATCAGGGAAGTCTGTCCGTCCTGCTACCGTAGAAGACCTGAAGAAACTTCGGTATCTGGAATGTGTTATTAAGGAGACCCTTCGCCTTTTTCCTTCTGTTCCCTTATTTGCCCGTACTCTTAGTGAAGATTGTGAAGTGGGTAAGTATGCTATACCAAAAGTAGAAGGGAGAGGGAAATTCTTTAATGTCTGCCCTGCTCCTGTCTCATGATGTATCGACTACTTCTTGACAGCGGGCTACAGAGTTCTGAAAGGCACGGAAGCTGTCATCATTCCATATGCCTTGCACAGAGATCCGAGATACTTCCCCAATCCCGAGGAGTTCCAGCCCGAGCGGTTCTTCCCTGAGAATGCCCAAGGGCGCCACCCATACGCCTATGTGCCCTTCTCTGCTGGACCCAGGAACTGTATAGGTTTGTATGCATCTGAATTGTTTGACCTTTCAGGCCCACATGTTGATAGCAGGTTTCTCACAGAGATTCCTTTGAGATGTGCTGTGACATTGCCCGTAGGCAACAGCCTTAACAAAATAGCTGGTTTCTTTTTTCCCTCACTTACTGTGCTTTGCAATTTTAAAATATCATTGTCAAAAGGTATATTCGTATATTAACCTGCCTGGGCTTCCATAGCAAAATAACACAGACTGGGTGACTTAAACAGCAGAAATTTATTTCTCACAGTTCTGGGGGCTGGAAGTATGAGATCAAGGTGCTGGCAGGGCTGCTTCTCCTGAGGCCCGTCTCCGTGGCTGGGAGATGCATTCTTCTCCCATGTCTTCACTCGGTCTTTTCTCTGTGTGGGCTGTGTCCTGATCTCTGGTCAGACTGCACTAAGGCCCACCCCAGTGACTTACTCGTACTTAATGACTTTTTTAAACGACCTGTCTCCAAATACAGTCATATTCTAAGGTATGGGGGGGTTAGGACTTCAACATATGAATTTGGAGAGAGACACAATTACCCATAACATAAAACATAATCAGTTTCATGGCAGAGTTCTGAAATGCTGTTGATTTTTAATTACAGTAGAATATAATTTATTGTGGTAAAAACTTCATGTGATGACTTATGGCTCACCTAATTTTTGTGTCTATTGCTTTTAAGAATTTCATTTTGCAAGTCAAAACAGAAAATGCTGCCATATGGCCAGCTGAAGTATTTAAGCAAAATGAATGCCCGTCGTCGCCCTGCACTTTCAACCGTTTTGGTTTTAGCATCTCTAGCATTTTATTTATGTAAATGCAGACATTAGTAAAGTGAGGTCAGATTGAAATGGGTGAATCTGAAGCTTTTTTGGTGGATCCATAGTAGATTAAAGACACTAAGACATAACCTAGAGTAGTGAGGCTCAGGCTTGAATGAGCTCAGGATTTATATGGATCAGTTGGAGTACAAATTCCCCGGCCCTCCCCAGCTATTGAGATGTGCAAGGTGGGAGCAGGGAGGGACCCTCACGACTCTTCATTTTTAACAAGTGTCCCAAGTCATTCTGATTCACCTTCTGCCTACTGTGAAAATATACAATGGCTTGCTTCCTATGATAGAACCCCTTGTTTCTCGTATTTGGGATAAGTCTATAAGCAAAGTGATGATATTTACATTAATTTGAAGGTCAAAAGTTTGCAATGATGGAAGAAAAGACCATTCTTTCATGCATCCTGAGGCACTTTTGGATAGAATCCAACCAGAAAAGAGAAGAACTTGGTCTAGAAGGACAGTTGATTCTTCGTCCAAGTAATGGCATCTGGATAAAGCTGAAGAGGAGGAATGCAGACGAAGCCTAACTATGTCATTGGGTTGTGCCTTTATCATGACAAAGGTCTTTCTTTTAAGAGATCCTTGGTATTTACAATTTACAGATCGTGAGTTCAATATGCTTGAATCCCCTAGACCTAATTTTTCCTTGTCTCCAGTGATCTTGACATCAAGTCTAACAAAGAACTTTGAGTTTTGTATTTTCCTGTTTTTGAGACTGAGGCTTGCTCTGTCGCCCAGGCTGGAGTGCAGTGGCGCCATCTTGGCTCATTGCAACCTCTGTCTCCCTGGTTCAAGCGATTCTCCTGCCTCAGCTTCCCAAGTAGCTGGTGCCCACCAGCACACCCAGCTAATTTTTTTGAATTTTTAGTAGAAACAAGGTTTCACCATGTTGGCCAGACTGGTCTCAAACTCCTGACCTCAGGTGATCCACCCGCCTCAGCCTCCCAAAGTTCTGAGATTACAGGCATGAGGCACCATGCCCAGAATAACTTTAGAATTTTTTAACGGTATTTAGGTTGACTCGGGAACACACACACATGCACGCACACACATACAATATAATTTGAAAAGAGTGAGTAAGTATTCTGACTCAGGCTTTTAGGTTGTAAAATTATATTAGTGGCATCAGTTATGATAAGAATAATTATAGTACTTCTCAGATTTTATAACACAGAGTAGATTATTTACAAGTTGATTCATAGGTTCTATACAGTTTCTCGTTTGATTGTGCACGTATAGTCTTTAATTCCTCATAGAATCACAATCACCTTTATGTAACATTATTGGAAGAGATTCATCTTCAGAATCTCCAATTTTTCACAGTGCCTCACAGGGTTAATCATGCCTTTTGGAGTTATAAGGGCCTTAGAACTTATCTACTTATGCTCCTTTATATTATAGTAAGGGGATGGAATTAATAAGAAAGTAAGTTTCTGCCCAAAGTCATGTTACCAGTTGGTGACAGAGCTGGAAATACAAAGAGATCTATCCTCTAAATCCCCCCACTCACATACCGATATGCCTCTACAGTATGCTGCAGCTTTGGGAAACTCAGGGTGATGATCACATGTGTCATTAGAGCATGCGTCTTCTGCTTCTGATTTAGGCATCGTTCTGGGATTCTTCCTTCTTTAAAGGAAAAAGGAAGCCATTCGTCTATATTTAGTAACCCAGTAGTCTCTTACTTAGCTTAGGGTTAGACCTTTAGTTAATTCCACCCTACGGTTCATACTTATCAAGCTGATAACTGACGCATATTCCCTGAATTTTAATTTGATAGACAATACACCTGCCTACTCCATGATTTCTTCATTTAATAATTTAAACAAGATTGGTTTAGTTTTGTTTTCCATTTTTATTCATCACAGAATCACAGTTACCTTTATATGTCATATATTATTGGCAGGGACTCCTCGGTAATCCCAGGTCTCTCAGTGTCTCACAGGTTTGATTAATGGCTTTGGAACTGGAAGGACCTTAGAACTTACGCGATTATGCTCCCAGTAGGCAATAGCAGATAGAACTGTGCAATCAAGAAGGGAGGATATGTATTTTTCAATGGGTAGCAAAGGAAGAAGTTACAGAACCAAAGCCATTTGGCAAGCCCTCAGTCCGGGCCATTTAGGGCAGGGGAAGCCTCAGCCACTGCACCCCTTAACTACCCCAGAGAGCCATGGTGCGTACAACCCAGGTCCTAAACTGATGAGAAAAACTCAAGGAAGGAGGGGATACAATTGGAAATATTCTTATCAAATGGTTGATCTCATTATCTAAAAATGGGTGGATTAGAAAATTTCCTTCCAAGATGATTCTGGATGATAAAAGTTGCATTCACTTAAATCCGTATTCTCTCTCCATTTTATGCACTTTATCTCTTACGTTTTGTTTTTAGTGACCCTACGTAACACATGACATTCAATGTAAAGTGAAACCTTGCTTAATGTTACCTTTTGGCCCGAGAACCTCATTCAGCTCTAGAATTATTACTCTTATTTTAATCAGTAAGTCATTTAAGCTATGACAGAGTAGGAGCTGACATTATTTCATGTGCTGCGGTATTGAAATGTGGGTGCTGCCTTGTTTTATGAGAGGATCAAGTGTCTGTCCATGTGCCCATTACCTGTCTGTCTGCTGTTTGAAAGACATGTCTGAAGAAAAATACATTATATTTTAGATGCAGGTGCAGCATTTTATTCTAAGAAATGATATCAATTCAAAAAATAGAAAACTGTTAAAAGATAAACCAGTGGGTGGCTGATTCCTAATGGGTAATAAAAGAAATAGCGCTGTTGAGTTGATGTCATCAGTGTCTTGGATTTTCTAACAAAAGCTTCCTGCACTATTGTCACACTGATTGTGAATTTCTCTGACTGAAAAATCAACTAGAAGAAGTAGAATCACCAGAATGTTTTGTTCGGCTGAAGGCACAAAGTAAGCTCAGTTACTGAGAATCCACAGAAACCACAGGCATCACTGGCCCCAGGGATTTAGTCCGGAAACCTCTCAAGGTGATGGACTGCTGATTGGGGCCCTGTGCATTGTCACAGACAGCTGGGGAATGTCAGTTTCTGGACCAAATGACCCAATAAGAGACGGCGGTCATAAAAATATCCACTTTTATCTGAAATGTGTCTAGAAGATCAAAACGTTTTTCCTTCCAGCACCTAATCCCTGAGTGATACATCAAAAAAATTTTAGTCTGCCAAGGCACCCTCTTTTCCTAGGAGCAGCACTCTTATTTTTGAAATTGTCCTACAATAAATTACCCTCTTCTGTTCTCCCCATCTTTTTCCTTCCCCAATATAGACACAATGTAAATACGTAGCTTCAATTGGAGCTGCCATGTTCTTAGGCGATCCCACTTTCTCAGCCCTGAGAGAGGTTAAATTTGAGTTCTCCCCATGAGTTTTTGCAGCTGCAATTGGAGAGATACAGTTCCTCTCTTGTGGTGGAAACTCCAAGATCAATCAGCAGTAGAACCTCTGGAGCAGCTGCTGGGTGATGAGTAGAGAAGAAGCAGACAGAAGAAATGACAGAATCCTGGAGGAGTCGGAGTCCCACAGGCCCGGTGATGCCGAGGCTCACGGCATGTCTGCCCTGCCCACTGTTCTGTGGGTCCACCCTCCTTGGGAACCCAAGAGCCAGCATATTGCCCTTTGCTCACACGGATTGTGTTCCATTTATGACCAGAAGTGACTTCGCGTGTGTCAGGCCGGCTGCAGGATGTAAAAAGGGCCCTCGTTCTCTGGATATGATCTTAGGTCTTCACCCTATTTTCTTTGTGCTGCTCAATAATTCTCCATATTGGATTAACAGCACATATGTTCACCAGTCATTTAAATGCAATACCATTTAAGAAAATGCAGTTTTCTCTTTTCTAGATAGTAGGAAAGCTAAAGTTACATGCATCATTTTAGAATGCAGCTAGGCTTCACCTAACACAGCAGTCTAGTTTTTTGGTTCTGCCTTGATGACTCTCCGGGCTAATTAGTCATTTTTCTCCTTCTCTAATTAAACCAGGTTCATTTTCCTGCTGGCTAGCTATATGCCAAATTTCAGGGGTACATCTCTCACCCCTAATTACTAAAATGAACTGGCTGGATTCTTTCCTCCGTTTCTTGTCCAAAAGTTCACCAAATGGTTATTTCCTCAGGCTGAATTCAATTTTGGAATCAACTCCAGCCTTTAGCTGTTTATCTGCTTCTCTTCATCCCAGTAGATAAATTTTTGGCACATTCTTTCTCCTTGCATGATTCTCTCTCCTCTTTACCCATCATTTTCTTTCTCTTGGGGTTTGCATTTATTGATCTCTGCCTTTCCTGATACTATTCAATTTTTTTTCACAGAAATAAAGCCTATACTAAAATGCAGATTCCTATATAAAAAGTTGTAATATTTTTCCTTCAATAAGGGGCATACAAACAGTGTAGATCTTACCAGGAAGAAAAATTATCACACTACTTAGACATGCCTGCCTTATTTTTTAGATGCTTTCAGTTTACTTTTAGTAAACTGAAACTGCCATATATAGTTTTAAAATATGTGTTTTAGCTGAATAGCAAAAAAAAAAAAAAATATGTAGACACAGAAGTGTATTGGACACTCCCAGGAAGGAGAGTAACCTTTTTATTTTGTTTTTCTTTCCTTCTTTCTTTTTCTTTCTGTATTCTACTTTTAAGCTTTGCCTCCTTGCTTGCTCAAATGAAGCCAAAGTTTTAAGTTTTATTCTATGGAAATACTGTAAATTAAGACATTCATTTTTTGAGACAGGGTCTCACTCTGTCACCCAGGCTAGAGTGCAGTGGTGCTATTACGGCTCACAACAGCCTCCACCTCCTGGGCTCAAGGGATGCTCCCACCTCAGTCTCCTGAGTAGCTAGAACTACAGGTGCACACCGCCACGCCTGGCTAATTTGTGTGTGTGTGTGTTTTGTAGAGACGGGGTTTTGCCATGTTTCCCAGGCTAAATTAAGACATTTAAATCACTCAGGCACAACTCATTTTATCATATTGCCACATCTTCCTAGGAGTGGGATTGTGCTTGTCTTTTCAGCTGCCTGTGCCTTAATCGTGACTACCATCATTAATGTTTGATGTTGTTGCCAGTGCTGGGTGGTGGTTTCCAAAAGCAATGCTGTTTTGGAAAGGCAAGGACTACAGTGTGTCATATGACAGAACCTCAAGAGGACATTTGCTGCCACCAAAGGGCATTCATCAGAACAAGGACCAATCAGAATGCATCCAAAAATCACTGTCAGTGTCATCTGAAACCAGCAGTTAATAGTTTACATGTGTGATTGCGACTCTCCTGTGAGAATGAGATGGTCCACAACTGTGGGTAAAGGAAACTTCCTGTTCTCAATCTCTTGTTTTTTATAAATATTTCATTCCTTATTCGTGTGCTTATTTATCATTTTGCTCTTTCATTCATAAACATCTGCCAAGTACTACTCAGGGAACTGGGGAAAGACAGCAAACAAGCCCCAGTCCTACCAGCAAGGTGTTACAGACAGCGGGGCATCAGAAAAACAATAGAGAAATGGTCAAGGAGGTAACAGAACGGCAGGGGAATGAGAAGCGCTATGCAGAAAGACAAAGAACAGTAAGGAGACAAGAGGTGGAAGAGATGGAAGGTCCTTTTCAGATGAGATGCTTGCTGGAGGATGGCATCCGGAAAAGACGAT